CGCCATCTTGGTTTAGTCGGACGGCACCTGGGTTGGCAGAAATCAGGTTCTGAGTTCGCGACTTCGCACCTAACACCATCGCAACTCAGATCACAGCGGCGACAACTTCCTCGTCATGGCTGCAACGACGACTCTCTCCAGGTGCATCATCGTCGCGGCTGCCGAAAGGTATTGGAGGGAGAGAGAGAATGACGGTAGAAAGAGAGAGAACAGAACAGGGTTGGGGGAGAAATGTAGAGAGAGAGAAAGAGAGAGGAAGGCAGCGGGTTGTGGCTGTGGGTTGGTAGTCGCCGACGATCTGTGCGCCACTGGTGGAGGTCGCTGGTCAGAGAGAAGAGAGAGAGAGGAGGGGGGAAGTGAATTTAGGGTTTGATATGTGATGAAATTAATATAGATAAAATTAAAATATAATTTGTAATTATATATAATATGTATAATTATAATTTGTATCTAATAAAAAATATCTGATTTTTGAAAATTAAAATTTGAAATCTGTTTTTTGAAAATAGATCTTGAAAAGTTGGGAATTAGGTAATTTGCACTACTAAAAATCTAGTTTACGTATTGTTCCCTCCAAATGGGTCATCCTATAGAATATTCTACCTATGGTGGGCCAGCCCATTGGACTTTGTGTTGATCTCACTTTCTCATGTCATCATCAGATATGACAAATGATAACCTAGTGAAAGGGTTGTTCCATTTTAGAGTTTTTATGCTAAAAATAATTCATTATAAACTACAAAATTTACAAGAGAGAAGTTGCACGTCGTATAGATTTTGAGTCAATACATGCATTTTTTAGATTTTCTTCCTCGAAAAATATGAAATAAGGGGGATGAGAGACTCGGTTTCAAGCTTATATGACATGATTTGTGAAGGATACGTATATCACACATGACCAAACTCGGGAATCCAACTCAAGCACTATTTGTTTGGACCTTAAATTGAAGCGGTCACGAGATAGATCCACCCCCCGCGTTCATGTGAAGCACTAGATCATTCTCCTCCTTGAGAGAATTGACATACAATTTTTTTTGGCAGTTGATTGATTGTTTCAGCGGTAAATGTCTATTTTACCCTTATAAACTATCTCAACTGGACCCTAAACTGGACTGACACAAACAAATCGCCCATCCCTCCAAGTTGACATAAAATTCTTACAACTCAATGAACCTATTTATTACATATTTACTACCTTTCAAATCATCCCAGCTACTCTTGTCCGTACCAAAATAAATGTTTTTGTCTGGCAGTAATCTTAAATTAAATACAAATAATAATGAATAAATAAAAAAACGTATGTTTGGACCACCTTTTTCGTACATTTGTATAAAAATTATGACCGTTTGTCCAATAAATTTGACAACCCCGTCACTTCCTATTGTACCAAAAATTATACTGTACAAACAATTTTCCACATTTGCCCTTTCCCCAATACAAAAAAAACCACAAACGGACCAAAAAAAATGACAAAATCGTAAATTGGTGTAAATTATATTTGAGGGTGTTGAAAAATGCTTAAAATAATTGTGGGCCCCCTCTTGTGAGGGGGACTCCCGTGTACGTGTAGCAAAGCTCGAGGGTGTTTGTTGAATATTATTGAGGAAATGATGTATTTTAAATAGTGATAAGATGAGATTAAAAAGTAAGGAAAAATTATTGATGTGATGAAAAATATTATTTTATTGAAAAATGTGTGGTTGAAAAATATCCATCAAACACACCCGAGTTTTGAAATAATGTATTTTGAGAAAACGTGTGTCAAACAGAAATGGAATGGAGTCACACATTGATTTGTTGTGAAAATGCATTATGGGGACAAAAATGGGATCAAATAGGAGCTAAATCTTCTTCTAAATAATTTTGATATTATCTATTCTATAAAAAACTAATTTTCTATAAACTTTTTTTTTTCTAAATTATTAAACAAAAAATTTCTTTCCAAAAATCACATTACATGCTACATAAATTTACAACAAAAATAAATAAATAAAAATAATAATAATTAAAAATGAATTACCTGGTTTTCATCTTCATAATCATCATCACTGTAGCGTGTTTCCACTTGTTCGCCGGCTCTGGTGGATTCCGGCCGCCTGCAGCGGCGTTGCAGAGCCGACACGGTGGCGGAATTATCAAGGAATGCATGTGGGCTTCTGAAATTTTCACCAGACAAAGTTCTGAAAGAAGAAGAATTTACATAGTTTACATGAATTTTGTAGGAAAAATCTTCCGGCTGTAGAAAATAAGCAATTTTTGGGTTTAGAAAATGAGCAATTTTTCTTGATCTTGAGAGCCAGATAGCCATGGAGACTTTCACTTTTTTTTTTTTCTGCTCAGTAGAATGGCCAAGTGTATAGGACTGTATTGTATGTATACGGGCTTCTGGCTTCAATAGTGATTTTTGCGACAGGTGGAAAAAGCTAAAATTAATCTCCACTTGTCAAATCACTATTGGAAGTGTGCGTACCTTTAAAAATTATTAATTTATCAATAAATGGAAATTTTTATTTAAATATATAAATTTTGATGTATGGCAATTTTGAGTAATGGTCATATGTTTCTATTTCTATTAAAAGTAGCCAAGGTTATTGGTTTTCTTTATTTTCTTTTTAAGGGATTTATTTCTTTTCTTTCATAGTCTACTTGAGATTAGGTGATTTACTAAGTTTGTACATAAATATTATTTATTCAAATTCATATTTTCAACCGAACCTTTCGAAGAAATCTTTCGAGACGTGGTAGCTTTAAATAATTACTTTTTATAAAATTTTAAAAAATATACGTGGAATGTATGCAATGAAAAAAATTTGGGCTGACGTTGGGTTTGCTTTGGTTTGAGTGAAACGCAAACTACTTAATTTCTATCCAATTTTTTTTGATAAAATACTAATTTCATTAAATTAAAGTTGTCAAAATTATTTTAAAAGTTACTTAATTACTTAACTTCTTGTGTTTAGCCAAACATGTAAAAATCAAAATAGAGGAGGTGGAAGAGTTCAATTGCAATACGTTTTATTTCATAATATGTATATCATTGACAGCATGTGTGATGTGTTGGGTATACTTTGTACAGTTTTTTTGACGTTTTATGGTTGTATTTGTACATTGTTCGACGCTTTAGTATGTCAAGATTTCAACGATTTAATCGATTCTTATAATTTAGGAAGTCACTCTATAAATTTAGTTTTCGATCATTCTACTACGTCTTACGTGATAGTTTATACTTATCATTCAATGTTATCGTATTTCGGTATTCTTTTAGGGGCAAATTATCAATTCAAAATGACAATAAGTACTTTTTTGGTGATAGGGATAAGATTTATATGTGTAGTGTAAGGACAATAATTGGGATAGGGATGGATCCATAGACCAAAGGAACAAGGCTACGTGTCACTCTCATCTTGAAATTGAAATAAATGGGTAATTTCTTATACATTTTGAGTTGCCCACCTGCTTTTTGCCCTTCATGGACTCCCTTAGATAAGTGGCTTAAACATTTTTTTTTTGTCAATAATCTAAGATC